AACTCAGATAAAAAATCTAAATTATTTAAATAGGAACAAATTCAATTTAGACATTTTCCAAGAGTAGAGGAGTAGTTTATAAAATTGGATGCGGAAAACATAAGTAAAATATGACGTCTCCCTCAGCAGTTTTCTAGCACAGGGCAATCACAACCTCCATTGCACGAAGAGGGTAAAGATTAGAACGGTTGGTTCAGGTATATGTATATGCACTTTACACAGTGTAAAACCGGTGCATTAGACCACTGCACGCATCCGCACTACAGTGCACCGTGTGGACCCCAACCCCTCCAAAAAAGAAAAAAAAAAGAAGAAGAAGTAAGAAAAAGAGTAAGAAAAAGGCAAAATTCAGTGTTTTTTTATTCCCGCAAACACCGGGGAGTAACAAACCCGCGCAGGTACGTACAAACGTTGATAGGAATCACTGCGATCTCCAACGGCGCCCCAAAGGTCAAGTGGATCCTGTCAATTTATTTTCTGGCGGTTCTCTCTAGAGAATTGTTATTCCAGGGAATTAAGTCTAATTGGTAGAAATAAGTCAGGTGTTCGCGACGCGCCGCGTGTTACACCTTAGGGAAGTGTGTACTGCATTTTGCTTCTAGGGTCCTAGCTGTTTTACAAAATAAATTTAGCCAGATAATTGCTTTAACTAAACTTTTACGCCGTAAATTTGGTCTAACTAAATTTAAAGACCGTAAATTTGGTCTTACTAAACTTGAAGACATTCACATTCGCTCAGAGAGATGTAGATACATCTCTTTGATTTTCTCCACTTCATTTTGCGATAATATCTTAGTGTTAAAACTCATAATAAATATGAGGAACAAAAGTCACACGTTCCTTGCTGTAAAATGGGTGTGATGCATTTCATTAAATTGTAGTACTGCACGTTTCTTTTGATTCAAACTAGCTTTCAGTTTAACCTCAAGTTTAGAGCAATTTTCAGCCTAAAGCTTCTTTGAGAATCCGACTACTTAATAACTTTACATCTGTGACTAAGTCGAAAACGGTATTAAAAAAACAATGCATTTTAAACGTATGTGACAAGCCATTGTAATTGACTCTAATCCCTCTGTAATGACAAACGGATTGACAGTTATAGAAAATCGTGTCATGAATATCACTTATATCCAATAATACACCGGCTAGAGAAAAAAGCTAGTTGACTAATTGATTGCAATCCATCAGNGAAAACGGTATTAAAAAAAACAATGCATTTTAAACGTATGTGACAAGCCATTGTAATTGACTCTAATCCCTCTGTAATGACAAACGGATTGACAGTTATAGAAAATCGTGTCATGAATATCACTTATATCCAATAATACACCGGCTAGAGAAAAAAGCTAGTTGACTAATTGATTGCAATCCATCAGTATTCAAATCAACCATGGCTTGGATTAGTGTGAATATGTGTGAGATCTAACATAAAAACATTATGCAAGATGAACAGGTTGCACCAGTATACGCCAGCGAATGCTCCCTGTGCACACTGCGCAAGCGCAACTGTACACACATGTATATGTCCATCTTTATGGCTGCTCATTCTAGTACTACACATTTCTTTTTATTTTACATATGTCAAAACACGTTTTAATGTTAATATGTACACAGTTCAACTTCTGCATGTGAGTTTTGACCTTTCACGGGACAGAAACCTTCACCGACCACAGAGGAAAAAGATTATCAATCACCCTCTCTTAGGAACTACTTAGGCAATCAGGAATGCATCAAAGGCTCATTTTGAGCAAAGGTCAGCCAGAGAACTCATCGGAAATACTTTCTCCCAAGCGAGGAGCGGTGATTAGCGAAAGGGCCCTCGTGACTTGCTTCGTATAGACCCCCCCCCCCCCAACGTGACTTGGTCTGTGTAACGATCCCCTGTGAATTGGTCCGTGTACTAATCTCCATGACAAGGTCCGTGTATTAATCGCCCCGTATTGGTCCGTGTACACCCCTCCCCAACTTGGTCCGTAGGCCTTTAAACGTGAAGGCCTACGTATATATGTTTACCGATCGATGCAACTATTTTTATTTCCATACACAAAGTTAACATTTACAACAAAATGAGAGACAAAAACACCTTCCACACGCCATTCACACAATAAGATTAAAAGTTCTTGCAAACAAACTTGAATGTTTTTTGCTACACCTTCCCATTTTTCTCTAGGTCTGCTGCCTTGAAAATACCCAGTAGATATAAATACTGAAAATCTATTTTCTTTTGCTTTTCCAAATACTTTTGCAGGCATCCCAGAGCGGTTTAATTTTAATCTGTCTGCATAGAGTGAGATGTTTCTTAATGTGAAGGAGAAGTAGATTTAGACCCATGCAATGGCTGTTGTCTAAGAATCCAAATAGAAACAAAAATGTTCGTTCTAATGCAACAGAGTACTGTGTACTTTGGTTCTGAATGAAACACGTCCAAATAGCTTGGACATATGTACAACCCCAGAAAATATGTAATAAAGTTACTTTTGGGGCATTACAGAAAGTGCATTGTTCATGGTCTATCAGAAAATAAGTTAAAGAGCATCGAATTAGTGAAATAAAGTCTATGTAAAATTTTGAATTGCAATGTGAGTAGTTTATGATCATATTTTTTCTCGAAAGGGCAAAGCACGAAGTAACTTCCATTTTTCAATTGGAAAATCAATGTTCACATTGCACACCGCTATATGTAGTGCTAAGGACGTCGTTTGTCACTGGACTCTTTTTGTTAATGCCATCTTATTACTAGGGGACGAAGTTGAGTAGCAATAACAATAACAATTATTTACAACAATTGCGATTATTATGATGATGACGATTAAAAATAATAATAATAATAATAATAATAATAATAATAATAGTAAACTACTGGCAATACACTAAGGATAAGGAGATAATTAGTATTTTAATTAATTTATTTTGTATAAAAAAATCGTGCGTTGTCAAAGAAAACTACCAACAAGGCAATATGTCGCAAGAGAATATTAATAATCGTATCATGTTGGTTAATAATCCGTATACACTTTGAGTTGTTTTATATTGTTATTAGTAATAATTGTTATTTTAACTAAATATATCCAAGATATTGAGCAAATTTTAGAACATATTCCGCCCATGCGTATTTTGTTTATCGACATTTCATTCTGTTGAAACGATTCTTCCTACCCAAGGCTATTTTACCTTGACCTGCTTTACACATGCTATATACACATGCACTGGGATCTTATTGTAAATGCTGATTGTGTCGCTGACGTGAACGGTTAATTTCGACACAATTTTGTAAAGAAACGATGCTATTGCATGTTACACCCGGTGCGCTGTTTTAAAACCAAGGTGCATGTTTATGTTCAGTGCGTGTGTATTTGAGTGTATTTATGTGTGTGTGTCACTATGTACGCGCGTGTCAATGCGTGTGTGTATGTTTGTGCGTGGGTGTGGGTGTCAATGTGCGTGTGTGCGTGTGAGTGTGTGCGCGCATGTGCGTTCGTGTCACTATGTGTGTGTGCGTGCGTGCATGTGTTTATGTTTGTCAGAAACAGTACACGGAATAGTTTGCAGTGCAATTTAAGTTTATAATTGATGCTTTCTTGTATAATTGATATCATTTTACATAAGGTTTAAAGCTCGGCACTCAAACACACTTACAAACCCCACAAACA